AGAATCTGATGGTGTTCAACGCTGATAAATGCAAGGTTCTCCACCTTGGGAAGAAAAACCCTCAGCATCCTTATAGGCTCAGCAGTGCTATGTTGGCTAGCACTATGGAAGAAAGAGACTTGGGGGTCATCATTGACCACGAGATGAACATGAGCCTGCAATGCGATGCGGCGGCTAGTAAAGTGACCAAAACGCTGGCTTGCATCCATAGATGCTTCTCAAGCAAATCCCGGGACGTCATTCTCCCCCTGTACTCGGCCTTAGTGAGGCCGGAGCTGGAGTACTGTGTCCAGTTTTGGGCTCCACAATTCAAAAAGGATGTGGAGAAGCTTGAGAGAGTCCAGAGAAGAGCCACGCGCATGATCAGAGGTCAGGGAAGCAGACCCTACGATGACAGGCTGAGAGCCCTGGGGCTCTTTAGCCTGGAAAAGCGCAGGCTCAGGGGTGATCTGATGGCCACCTACAAGTTTATCAGGGGTGACCACCAGTATCTGGGGGAACGTTTGTTCACCAGAGCGCCCCAAGGGATGACGAGGTCGAATGGTCACAAACTACTTCAAGATCATTTCAGGCTGGACATAAGGAAGAATTTCTTTACTGTCCGAGCCTCCAAGGTCTGGAACAGCCTGCCACCGGAGGTGGTTCAAGCGCCTTCATTGAACACCTTCAAGATGAAACTGGATGCTTATCTTGCTGGGATCCTATGACCCCAGCCGACTTCCTGCCCTTTGGGCAGGGGGCTGGACTCAATGATCTTCCGAGGTCCCTTCCAGCCCTAATGTCTATGAAATCTATAAGACAATAAGAGAGTCTATGATTTGATTGTAATTTCACTCCCATGAATTATTTGCCATAAATGCAAAAGAAGATTTGAAAGAATACAATCTATTTCCAACTCCCTCGAACGCATGCAGAAGTGTTCATGGCTCTGATATACTGCAGCAAGTGGTAAAGACACCATGTACAAGATGTTTTATCCAGTAAACACAGAACCTTTCCAAACCTGAGCTAAATCCCGATTTTTCACTCTAGCAAAACTCTAGTTAAGATTATACTCCTTGATTATTAATAAAAGACCTTTGTTTGTCAATGTATTATAATTTTGATTTCATAGTTTCATAGTAGCTAGAGTCAGGAGGGACCTGAACAGATCATCTAGCCTGACCCCATGCCACAGGCAGGAATGAATGCTGGGTTCACAAGACCCCAGACAGGTGATCATCCAACCTCGTCTTGAATTTGCCCAAGGTAGGGGCAAGGACCACTTCCCTGGGAAGTTGGTTCCAGATTTTGCCCACCCTAACTGTAAAGTATTGCCTTCTGATCTCTAACCTAAACCTATTCTCCATCAGCTTATTACCATTGTTCCTTGTCACCCCAGGTGGTGCTGGGGAGAAAAGGGCTCTACCATTTGCTGTTGATCCCCCCTGATGAGTTTGTAGGCAGCCACCAGGTCCCCCCTCAGCCTCCTCTTGCTGAGGCTGAACAGGTTCAGGTTCCTCAGTCTCTCCTCGTAGGGCCTGTCCTGCTGCTCTCTCACCAAGCAGGTGGCCCTCCTCGGAACCCTCTCCAGGCTGGCCACATCCCTTTTGAAGTGTTGCACTTAGTACTGGATGCAGTACTCCAACTGTGGTCTACCAAAGTCACATAGAGGGGGAGTATCACCTCTCTGGATTGGCTTGAGATACAACTTTGGCTGCATGACAAGGTATGGCTGGCCTTGCTGGCTGCAGTCTGGCATTGGCGGCTCACATTCATCTTGGAGTCAATAATGACTCCGAGATCCCTTTCCACCTCTGTGCTTTCAAGGGAACTCCCCAGCCTGTATGTGTGCTGTGGATTCCTTCTCCCAAGGTGCAGCACCCTGCATTTGTCTACATTGAATCTCATCCTATTCTCGTCTGCCCACTTTTGTAGTCTGTCTAAATCTAGTTGCAGCCTCTCTCTCCCTTCATGTGTGTCCACCTCGCCCCACATCTTAGTGTCATCAGCAAACTTGGACAGCGTGCTTTTCACCCCCTCGTCCAAGTCACTGATGAAGATGTTAAACAGTGTGGGCCCAAGGACCGAGGCCTGAGGTACCCCACTGCTCACATCTTGCCAGGTTGAGTACAACCCGTCCACCACTACTACGCCCCATCAGCCATTTTTTTACCCATCCAACTGTGTAGGCATCAATGCCACAGTCGCTTAATTTATTGATGAGGATGGGGTGAGAGACAGTGTCAAAGGCCTTCTTAAAGTCTAGAAAGACTACGTCCATGGTGACACCATCATCCAAGGATTTAGTTACTTGGTCATAAAAGGCCAGATGACCACGAATGCTCATATAGCCAGGCCAAGGGTTCCACGATGACCCCTGCCAGCTCCCTCAACACCCTTGGGTGGAGGGCATCTGGACCTGCAGATTTAAAAATGTCTAGCCCTTCCAGAAGATCCCCAACTACATCTGCACTGACTGAAGGCCTGACAGAGCTATCCCCAAGATTGTCCCTACTTCTGGTAGGTGGGATATCCTGGTCCCTGTTCAAGAAAACAGAGGCAAAGAAACTGTTAAAAATATCAGCTTTCCAATAATAATTAATTGTATATTTAAATAGCTACATCTGAGAAGCAGCCTTTGTGTGTAGATCTTTTAAAGTATCTAAGAATAACTATCGTTTCTTTTTATTATTAATAATAATAATATCTGGTGTTTTTACTCTGCCTAACTAGAGGAGGCCAATCCTGTTTCTGCTTCAGTAGGTGGTGCTGTTCCCCAAGTCTTTGCTGAAGTTACACTGTGCTTCAGAAAGGTATAGTGCTGATTGGGGTCCTTCTTTCAAATGTGGCAAAAAAGCTGAAGAAGTAATCTTTCGGGAGGGACTCTACAGTCCATGGTAAACTGTAACACCAGTGTTCTCTGAAGCAGATCATTCAGGAACCTAACTCCAGCGATGTGATGAAAACAGTAGAAAGGGGGCTACTGTGATAAGTACTCCGAGACCCTGTGAGATCTTTAAAGTGTAAAAGCCTGACCTCTTTCTTCTCTGTTTAATCAAAATAGACACTTCTCCTTCAGTTTCTCATAGCATAAGGTTTATGTACCCTAAAACTCCCTTTCAGAGTATCCCCAGGTACTTACACTCAAATGTGAAAAAGACAGTAGAGAGGAAAAAAACCCAACTGCATTATCTTATGCTTTTTTGCCCTTATTGCCTCTTCCCAGATGGCATGTTTTCTTCATTCAACTATTCTGTCTAACATTCCACGTTAAACGTTTCATTACTCCGTCCAATTTGTCTGTAAAGAATTGTGTATGCATGTGGAGCAACAGAAATAGCTCTTGCTAATGAGAGTACAGCAGTTGATGGTGCATTGGTCATATAATAAAGCTGTAATGCAAGTATTCATGTAATCTCCTGTACAATGGCTGGAACAATGGGAAACCACATATGAGTGAGACTTCTAGCTACTATCGCAATATAAGCAAGTAGCAATCAATGGGCTTCTGCAATAAGGTTTGCTGAATTGATACAAATTTGGGACTGTTCTGCAAATTGAGGATCTATTATGGTATTGTTCTGACTCTTAAGTTGACCCTGAACATTAAATGACCTCATATTTTCAGTTTCCATTTTTAGGAAAAACAGTTGTTCCCTGGCTATAAGCCAGTAACTACAGATGAAGGCACTGAATTGCTATTGTTCTTACAAAATCCTATTGGAGAATCACATAACCAATGAACTGACCCAACGGGCTAAATGCATTAAAAATACCAAAATGCAACCTGCATTGCACAAAAATTCTGACCTTGTATTTTATGGTCTACACACCAGGGGAGACCAACCTGCAGTACATGCCACAAGTGGCACAGGCAGTTTCTATGTGGCATATGGCAGATCAGGCAGGGAGGATGGGGAAGGAAGCAGATTGCAGAGGAAGGGGATTGGAGTGGTATTCAGGGAAGGCAGAGACTTAGTTTGCAGCATATCTGCCACAAAGTTTGATCATCCCTGATCTACACAAATTCTGCAAGTACAAAAAAAGTCAAGACTGGAGGGGGGCCAATTATAGGTCAACACCATGTCAAAGTCGAGTACAATTGTTATGGGGGAAGGGGTTGGTCAGGGAAAGGGAGAAGGAGATACAATACAGTACTGAAAACTGGAAGGCCATTTCAGCCAGATCCTAGAAGCAGTCTCTGTAGTTGGGTGCAATTAGTTAAACTATGCTAAACTGCTAACAATCTTAATTCATTTCTTTTAAGCTTGTGCAACATTTATGTAACAGGAGACTCAGGTGTGGCAACTGGGTGTACTCCCTGCTCTGACTCTTTGCCCTACTTACAGAAATGCTGTAGTAGCTGAACAGGAATAAGGATGGGCTGTGAGAAATTAGTGATAAGAAAATATAAACAAACAAAGGAAATGAAGACAGTTTGCCTGTAAATGTTTTCTTTATGGCTTTAAAAGGCAGAGAACTTTGAGTCCTGGAGATGAACAGAACAGGAGTTAATGCAGTGACATTCTTTCAATTTGGAAAACTTTGTTCAGTATGAACACAAGCTAAAGGAACCCCAGGGCAAATTCTGCTTCTCATTTGCCCACACAAGAAGATTTTCCTTGGCATTTGATACAGAGCTACAACCAGCCATCACTGCAACTGGTCTCCAAGTAAGGTATTTTGTTAAGTTTTAGGGGGGGGGTTTCATTAAAGAACAGTTATTTTATGGTCTCATCCACCTCCTTGTTATGCATGGTGTTGTACTGGGTGGGGCAAGGAGAAACCAGCCTTTTAAAATTCCTACTTAATACCCTTATGGACTATCCTGTGTGTTAAATAGTGAATTTAGCAGTCAGTCCTCTGCTGCTTCTCACTAACTGCTCTCCTCACTGCTGAGGCTACTGAGATATGAGTTAGTTTACAGGAACAAGGGAATCCTAGAGTGGCAAGGGAGATTACAAACATGTCTTTTCTGTCTTTAATGCATATGAATGTGATGTGCTTGGGCACAGGGGAATGAGTATTTGCAGTAGAAACAGCCAGGGAATATATTTCCAAATGGTTTTAATACAATGATAGGGTTCAGAGGGGACAGAGCAACACAGTGCTGAACTCTGTAGACAGAACCCTAAAGCTAGGGACAGGCATTCAAAAAGCCTGAGCCTGAACAGATTTAATTTTTGCAGGTTAGTCTAACCTGGCTAGGCTAATTCACTTTGTAATTGTACAGACATGCCAGACATGCAGGCACATGCCTGCAGTGGCTCAGGCTAGAAGCCAGGGGGTGCTAGAGCAGCCCTCCATTCCCTGTGGCAAAGCCCCAGCACGATTAGGGAGGAGTTTCCCCCTGCCCCCCTACTCCTTGATATGAGTATTTATCAGCTCTGTTATCAGCATTTATCACCCCATCAGAAAACAAACAGCCTTTCTCATTAGTTCAAGCTCTTCTTAAACAAAGATGGAAGAGAGGGACATTACCAGCTGAGCTGTTGATTAGCTCCAAAGAGCCCTAAACCCACACTGCTGTCCGCTACAGCATGGACTGTAGCCAGCATGTGATCTGTTAGCTAATGCTGAGGTGTCTGTGTAAGGCAGAAAGGATGGGGGATCCCTGCTTAGTAGGGAGTGACAAGGGGAGTGGGGGAGCAGGAGGAAGCCAGGCAGACGCTGCTGTGCCTGCAAGTTTCTGCCAGAGCTCCAGCCAGGGAGCAGAGGAGAGGGGACAGCCCTGCTGTGGAACAGAAAGCTTCACCTAGCCCAGAGAACATGCAGAGATGCTGGGGGAGTCTGTTTTATCTTAAATCAGCAAGGGGTCTGGGACAGATATTGCATAAACTGGTTTGAGCCAAATCAGTTAAGTCTGATATTACATTCAACCACGTTTATCTCAAATCGGTTTCAGCCACTTGCAAACTGGTTTATGTGCACTGAACATCTGTTACAGGTTTACACTAGTTTATGTGTAATGTCTGTCCCTAGCCTGAGAAAATAAGATGACTGGTATGCACGCACACACACAGTTCAGTCTCAACTTGAAAATGCAAAGCCTGCTCCTGACAAACTCAGTACTCTGGAAGCATGATTCTGTAACACAGCCATTCAAGAGCAATATAAATAGTTCCATCATGCTTCCTGCTTACCAAGCCAGGACACAACAAAGGACAAGAGAGTGCAGTTCTTCACAATCCAAGGAAGAGATGACCACTACCCGTCTACCTCCCCCTTAGCTCTAGAGAATCAGCCACATGTGCCATTAAGTCACCTCCCCCATGGCAAGATCATTGCAAGAGCTGAGGCTAAATAAGGTACCAACAGAAAGAAATTTAAATCCTCACCAACACCAGGCAAAGCAGAGCAAAATGCTGAAATACATATTCCCGTGTGTGCAGTTTGCTATGCTCATTGACAGGGCAACATATGGAGTCAGGAATCTTCTGTTCTGCCCCCTGTGTATAATTTGTGCCCTATCTGTCAAATGAATCTTCTTTATAAAATGCAGTGACACCTACACAGGGAAAGCAGTTATGAATTCTTTTTATTTTGATCCCATGTCCAGGATCCTACATGGGGCTTGGTGTTGGCAAAAAAAGTCCTGACCTGAAGTGCTTATAGTCTAATAACCGACACCACAAATAGATATAACAAAGGGGAAGAAACAATAGATATAAACCAGGGAAGAGGATTGGGTGGCAGATGGGCTGGCTGGGGCATGCCAGCTCCAGCCACTCACCCCAGCCCCGCACAGGCTACTAAAGTGCAGGGCTAGGTATCAGGCAGCCCCTGCACTTCAGTACCCTCATGCCCCAGCCAACCTATCACTATCTACATATGTATTTCAGCACATGAAGTTACTCTGCTGTAGGAGACAAAACTATCCTACAGTGGAGTAAATTTACTGCTCCCTAATACCTGCACTTGTGTAGGCAGTGATGCTTTCCTTCTGAGCTAATTAGTGCTCTTTAATGCAGAGCTGACATGTAGATGCACCCTTTGCAAGTTAGGCTGCTTCTCTCCATGCCTACCACAGAATCCTCACCATCCCCACAGAGGTTGTGGAGGAGATGAAAGGAGCTGAAACATGTGAAAGGATGATTAGGGATGCATGAGGGAGCTGAATGAAGGGCTGCACCTCTTGAGTTGCTACAGTTTATCCTGGAGGCATGCAACTCCGCAGCATTTGCAATACCATAACATGTACATTGTTGTCTTTAGGGAACTGTGGTGCTTAACTTAAGGTACTCTTACGTGGTCTTCTAAAGTTACCAAATTTCCTTGATGCTTCTTTTTTCTTAAAAATAAGATAAAAATCACATACCAACAAGTATTTGCTATCAAACGATTCTCAGCTTTGCCTTCTGTTTCCAGATAAATTATGAAGCTGTCCATTCTTGGTGCAACAGGTCAGTCTGGTCAGTATCTGGTCTTGCAGGCACTTGAGGAAGGCCATGAAGTGACAGCACTTGTTCGGAACATCACTAATCTGACTATTCAACATAAAAATCTGAAGGTATTTCATATAGAATATTATGTCTGATACTATTCTTCTTGAACTAAGATTTTCAAATGCGTCTAGTGATTTAGGGTGTCTCAATTTTAGGATACCAAACGACCTCTTACAAGAGTCAGTTTTCAGATGGTGTGTGCTTAGCACCTTCTGAAAATTGGGGCTCCTTTAAGCTGTTTCAGTTTGAGCAACCAGAAATGGAAGTGGTAAGATTCACTGGTATCATTTTAAGGATTTTGGCCTAAATATTTAATATACCAAATATACACTTTATCTTCTAGTCTTACATTGTCAATAAATCCAAAAGTCTTTCCATTAAATCCCAGGGTCTTTGGATCAGTTTCTACATAGCAATTCAGGTTGGCTAACTGACTGTACAAAAAATATCAGCCTGCCCACATATGACCTATAGGCTATGTGGCCTAGCTGCAACCCTTAGCAGCCAGTCTGAACACCTGTAGATTTCTTCCCTATCAGAAGCTCCAATCATATTTTCTCAGCCAACATCTCTACAGCTCCATGAGCACTAACCAGTGTTACATTTAACAAAATAACTTGGAAAAGTTGTAGATATGGTTTTATGAATGTAATATATTTTGATGACTTCAAAGATTTAAATTAACTTGTGTGTAGGAGCTGAATGGGGAGATGTGATAAAGGCCATGTACTCATGGTGTGACAACAGCCCCAGTTCCCATTGATATTGGGGAGGTTGACAGCAGTCAGAGACTCTCAAGGGAATATCACAGGGCTGGGTTGAATGTCTTAAAAGAGAGCCTTACCAGATCTCTCTATTGCTTTCTTTTTTTGTAATCTGAAAGAGTCCTGGGCAAACAATGGAGTGAAAATATTTTAAGGTCCCCCCTAGAGCCTGAGCTAGACAAAACTTTCTGAAGTCTACTGAAGGAATTAAATATTTTTAGTGGGTCTACTGCCCTCCAAGGAAAATGAATGTTGAGCCTGGTGAATTCACTTCTCAGTGTTTCAAGCAGTAATTGACTAAAGTTGTCTCTTGAGAAACACCTGTCAGAGTAGGAATGAAGTTCTGTTCACTTTTTAAATGTATCCAATCTCTCTCTACAGTAAACCAGCCCAGAAATATCATAGCACTTTCTGAAATGAAAATACTATAGACTACAGATGTGTTTAATCTAATTTCCGTCTCACATACTACTACAAAATAATTTACCTATGTGAAACAGAACTGTCTGACCCCATTAGGTGGCAGACAAGATTATTTCTAAAGCACACCTCCAAGGTATAGTAAATACTCTTCTTTTCAAGGCAAGCCAGAAGCTGTAGCACAAAGGGGCAAGCTCTAGGTCCCTTGTTCTGAAATAAAAGCACATCTTAACTTCTAAACAGAAGAAGTAATCGCTAGTTCTTGGCTAAAGTGTATTTATCTCTCCAGTCTCCGATGCCCATCCCCAGACCACGCATACCACCTAACAGGTTTAGCATAACAAAAATACAGAAAAAGCACTTACCAAACACAGGTATCAATGACTCCATCACTACTACAGTGAGAATTAAGGCCTAAAATATAGAAGAGCAATACTACTTCATCCTACTACCCACGCACAAGATGGATTATCAGTTCTGTCAAGCTTTAGAAGACTTCCTGTTTTCTGAGACCAGATGCAAGAAGCACACATTATTCCCTACCTCTCCAAGTTTCTATTCAACTTGTGTTGAGTCATATGCCCAGGTGGAGACAATTATGCTAATAACAGCCATGAGGTTTCATCCATCTGATAATGTTTGAAAAAGCAGGGGCCTCACTTTTAAGCAGAAAATGGATGATAATAGCTCTATCAACCACTGGCTTTCATCAACAATAATCACATTTTCAGCCTTAAAATGAAATATGGTATTATGTTAATGCTAAATTGCAAAAGGAGAAGTGGGAGTCCTGGAGATATTATCACTTTATTACACATCCCATAAGCAGTTAAAAATAATCAATCTACTGAGGTTTTGCCTTCTTCCTGTTTGCCAAGTCTCACCTTCAAAAACATAACTCTCCATGAGAGAGTGCATTTAGAGTACTACTACTTCAGTGTTCCTGGTTCATTCTTATTTGGAAACAGAGTGATAAAAGGGCCCATCTACACGTCACCCTACGGCAACGTAGCAATGCGCTATGTGACTGTATGGCATGCTACGGTGATGTAGTGATGTTGTGGGTCTACACATGATTGCTAGCTATGTCACTGTAGTGGCACACTCCCCAGTTATAATGCAGTTCTATGGCAATGCAGAGGCGAAATCTAACCGTACACTGCATGCACAGTGCAGTAACCACTCATGCTGCGCTGTGCTTTAGAACTTCCAAAAGGAAGTACTAAAGCACGGCAACATGTAGACATGCCCAAAGAGGAGAAAAAAATGCTGGTGGTGAGACAAGTGTTGCAAAGATTCCAACATTATTAAATTCTTTTAGGTGGTGGAAACAAACATCTTTTCGGCAGAACAGTTGTCAGAACATTTGCAAGGCCAAGATGCTGTAATTTCCTGCTTAGGCTTCCCTTACAAGATCTTCTCAGCCATTTCAGGATATGCTGATTCTATGAGAGCTATTGTGGCTGCCATGAGGCAATCTGATGTGAGCCGTATAATAGCCATGATATCATGGTACACTTCCCGTGAGTACAGTTACCACCTGATTATTCAAGTGAATACTTGTCAATGTTGATTTCAGAGTCAGAGCCATAAAAATGATGGGAGGGGGACCCTCTGTCCATTATATAAATGGAATTACGGTGTTTTTAACTCCCTTGAGCCTTGAACTGAGAACTAAGAGTCTCTCTATGAAAGGAAAGAATCAGCAGTTTTATTCTTAAATCTTAAGCAAGGGCAAAATTCTTAAAAGTACCTAAGTGATTAAACCTGCTCCACTGAAAGCTAATGGGCTTTAAACACCTTTGAAAAAATCTTTTCCCCTACCCATTTCTGAGCAAAACCTATTAAAACTCCCCATCTCTTGCAGTTGATCTGGGTCTTGCATAAAGCATGGAAGTAGCCATCTCTGCTGCTAGTCTCTAGTAGCCATCTCTGCTGCTATTTTTCTCCAATACATAGACTAATCTACATCAACTTCTTAAAAGAAAGTGAGATGGGGATGCATTAGAGCAATGAGGATCAATGTATTTGTGACATCTATCACCACATAGGACTGCTATCACCATAAACTTGCACTGATGAGCATATAATAATGTAATGTTGCATTGAAAGTAATGCCTCCAACTTTCTGGTTCAAATTTTTGTAAATGCACCAACCCCCCTCCCTCCGCATCATCATATGGTCATGTGACCCTTCAATCAGGTTTTCAATTAACAATTTCCAGAATTCATTGTGTGTGTGTGCTATAAATCACCTCACTAAGGTAACTTCCCCTTCCTCCACTTGGGGAAATAAAGGGATCTGTTTGTTTTCCTGTCCCTTATGAGCACCTCCTTATATTGATTATCTTTCTGGCCAAGGACCTACTTTGGAGACTTCCCTTTAAATTAACCAGCAGGTTCAGTGACTAGCTGGTTACCATGAAACATTTCTATTTCTCTTAATGGCTGCGCCAATATGAGGCAGAAAAAGCATCAGGCAAGAATGATAAATAAAACATAGTAAGTGCAAAGAAAACACTAAGAAGAGCAAGTGAGAGAAAGAAAAGATAAAAAGAAACAAAATTCACAGAAAACTATAACCTTCAAGAGAGAAAATAATCAGAAGGAAGTAAGGGTGACTGCAGGATCAAAACCCCTGCCACAGAGGCAAAAACTGGGTTAGGAAGACACAGTGGCAATTAACAGGTTCAATGATAAAATCCTTAATTGCAAGTAAATTGAAAAAAAAAAGTAGGCAGGTAGGTTTTAGGTCAGGTCAGTTTTTATTAACTACCAGATGCCCTAATTAAACAGAGGGTTGATTAAAGGATATTTTATTTTAAATACATTATTTAAATCCTGATTTTGTGCTGTTTGTAAGTAAAATCATATTGTGTCAGTTTCTGAGTTAAAAGCAAAGCCCAACAAGCAGTGGCAGACATGTAGTATGGGGTCAGACACCAGACTAAAATTCTTTTGTTAGCAGAGAAGCATAATGTATACTTGGATTCAATAGCCATGCCTGTCCTGCTTGTTACTAACCTGTCTCTTCTCTCACAGCTGAATCAGGCCAGAATGCTCCAGCTCTAGTGTGTTTTTTCCTCCTGCCACTCATTAGAAGTGTGCTTACTAACATGTACCAGATGGAGAACTATTTAGAGAAGGAATGTGCTGACCCCAACTGGACTGTAGTGAGGCCACCAGGGCTAAAAAACATCCCAGCCACAGGTAAAAGAATAATAGTAGCAGCATGTATAAAACAAGGCTTTGCTAAGAGTGTAAATGGTAATGTAGATGGGTGATGGCTGATCAAATAGTTACATGTTGGGCCTTTTTTATAGGTGCTAGCAGGCCCTGCAACAAATACCAAGTCTCACTGACTCCTTTTTAGGTTCAGGCTACACAAAATTTTGCCGGATCAATCAGTAGGCTTGAAGAAGACTGGAAGAGAGATGTGGAAAATTGCACAGCCCCTGTCTAGCAGGTTTTTAATCGTTCAAATTGCTAAACTTTTTTTAAACTAGAGTTTAAAAAAGAACCCCTCTGAAACGCAACTTTTTCAATATACAGGTCTAATCTATATGCTAACTACATCACTTAGCCAACATTTCCAGTGGGTAATAGATTGAGATTTATTAACTAGGGGACTAGTCAAATGTCTGTTAAAGTTGGTAGAAAAAATCCTATAGACTTCAGTGGACACAGAACAAGTAGAAACCCAATGAGCTGAAGGAACACTCTCAAAGCATAGACAGGCTCAGAATAAATTCCCTGTCACTTGCTCAGTGCCCAAAGTTAATGCATCAAATGAAAAACAAGCTGTCCTTCTCTGCTGTCTTTAGTTATCCATTCCAGTGTGAAGGAGGTGCTCACCTCAGTTTCAGTGTTCCATCTTCAACTGATGGGGCAGTAAGAATAGGTAGTACATTATGGGTTTGTAAAAACAAGTGACATTAGTAGGGTTTGGAGAAGCTACCCCTAGGTTTCCCTTCAAGTAAGGTAGCACCTATACTTTGCTTTGCATTTTGAGGACTGAAAATCTCAAAGCAAGATTGGTTTATAACAATGTGTCCCTGATTTAACTTAAACTACTAAGTTTCCTATAGCTTCCCCTACGGTCATTGACTAATGCAGGTCTGCATCTTGATGCAATTTAAGTTTACAAAAAGATTAACAAACCTGAGAAAGTTTTTTAGTAATTCTGAGTCAGGTTTTTGGCATGCCCCAAAAGAAATCATTTTTGCCAAAGAAGTTTTGGACTGCTGTGCAGTAAATCACATTCAGAATTGCAAAGACCACATAATTGACATAATTCTGTGTATAATCACATCAATTTCCATATATGTCACAATTACAGGGCAGGGTATCTATATAGTCAAATATGTGTACAGGAGTTTAAATGGTCTTTTATGTAGTCCTGTGTAGTTAGCAAAATAACTTGATTCTGGGCAAACACAGACTAGCAATTGCTTCTGCCTTGTTCCACACAACTGGGTTTCCATTCTTGGAAAATAGGATCCTAAAGGGTCTTTCACTGTAATAGCAAACTCTCATCAACTTCAGATCCTATAAAGGACAGACCCAGGATTAGCCACCCGTATGTTTCAACTAAAAGCCATATTTGCTGTGTCCTCTTGCTGCATCAGCATTATTTAGCATGGTTACTGTGTTAAGCATGAATATTCCAGAAATGTTTTTAAACCCCAATTTTGCAACACTAACCCACTTTATGCATGCAAGTAATCATGCTGAAGTCAAGTAGACTCTACCCATGAGCAGTTACAATTATACATACACTTCAGTGGGGCCTGGGCCATGAGTTACTGAGCCCCTCCCAGGAAGAGTCAACCACACTTCTATCCTAGATGAAATCAGTAGGAACTGAAGGTACTCAGCATTTGGTGGAAGAGACTTACTAACTTGCAGGATCAAGCCTCCAGTTCCTCGCAAGAGAGCACTCTTAATGTTAAAAGGTGCCAGTTTTAGGGGTTAATGCTTATAGGAAACCCTCCCCCCAGTAGAATATTAGGGAGCCGGTTAGATATCAATAAACAAAGCCACTTTGAGTTGGAGATAATTGTAAGGGTTTAAAAAGATTAAAATGCTTCTTAATCCAGTAAACTTCCCACCACAGATTCACAGAATTCATTATTTTCCAGTGGTCATTGCAAGTTGAAGATAACGCTGGCATTATTTTACTGGGGCTTCATATTAAGTTTAGTAAACCAACAAAAGCATCTTTGTTGCAAATAGGGAAATATTGCTCAATAGGCCGCTACTTTCTTCCAGCATAGTAAAATTCACAACAAACTTCTCATTAATAAGATCAATGTTAATAATGATTGATTTTGTTTGTTTGACCTTTCTCCACTAATCCTCCATGTTCCATGTCGACTACTGGAGCCTGTCAAATGCTCCTTGACTAAACACCCTAAAAGTGAGTTTTAAGCACACTGAGAAGGGGACAGTTTAAACTGCAAAGAAAAAAGGGACAAGATTAGGCATCTCACTTGGGCTTTTTTTCTTGTATTTTGAAGCAAAGTGTGCCATTCTGAAACTTGATTCATCATCACAAGCAGGTAAAGGACATGTTTCTACGACTGCATGTGTCACAATGCAACTGCTGAATTTGCTTTCACAATTACCACACAGGCATATGTAAGCACAGGAAAACCATGCAAAGATCAAAATGGAAGTATCCAGTAAATCATTTGCATACACAACTGCCTCTGCATTATTCACAAATTATTTCTTAAAGCCCTGACTCCTTTACTAAAAAGTTTGCAGGAGAATCTCAGCTTTCTTTATATAAAGTAAATTTCTAGCCTTGATAATTACAGGGAAGAAATTGAAAATATAGAGCAAGTGAATCCTAAAGTCTCAGAAGAGCAAGAAAAAGAGCGTAAATATTATATCTATTTTTAAATCTCATAATTTTAAGTCAGTCCCATAACTGGCTTCTGACCCATGATTCTTTCTAGTGCTTGGGGTTGGAACCGTTGATGAAAGCATGCAGAAATTATGTACATCTAATTCCAAAGTAAAATAGTAAGTGTACTTTAAATGAGCAAAGCTATTTCCCTGAAACTAAAGATGGAAGAACACAGAGATTTGCAGGGACAGTTCACCATTCTAAGAGATACACATTTCCATGTGTTTTTGTACTCCTAGCCTCTGGTGTTCCTTCTCCTCAGCTAGTTGCTGATAACAACTTAGTATTCCATAGTAAGAATTTGGTAGAAAACTTCTTGGGTTTATCAGAGAGATGATTTTAATCCAGACTCTGCTACTGAAAGAAACATTGATAACTAAGGTAGCAATACATTAAGAAGATGATTTTTTTTAACATGCATTTAAACATGGGTGGATCTGGCATTTTGAAAAGGAGGGTGCAGATGGTGTGGTGCATCACCCCATATAGCACAACATATTTTTCTCTAGGTAAAAATATATTACGTGTTTTACTAATATGTTAGGGGCCTAGGACTATGCTATTCCATTTTAATATAGCAAAAAAGCCCCAAACCCAAATTTATTGGAATGTACTTTAATTGGCTATTATGTATAAAAAACACAACACGCTGAGCAAAAATAGTCAAAAGATGCTGTTTTATTAACCCTGTAGTCATTAAAGATAAACAGGGTTCAAATTACGGGGGAGCTTGAGGGAGGGGGGCTGAACCCCTTCCCCTCCCCCCCTCCCCCCGGAAGAGATGAGCCCCCTATAAGATTTGAAAATCATAACCTGGAGGGGCTCCGATTTTATTAGGGTGTCGTGATGAGCAGCCCAATTGTTTTTGCAGACCCCTCCCCTCCACCCAAGAGTCAAAGTGTAATTTGAACCCTGGAGTTAAATGTACATCTGTTTTTCAGATTCATTTCTACATTTCAGTTAATGTTCACCTTAGTTAATGTTTTTAACTAAAGTTAAAAAAAATAGTTTGTAACGCTGTTAAATAGGGCCTACATTACCAGGAACAATTAACAGACAGCATAATTGCCAAAGAAAAGATAGCTTGATCAGTGGAACATCAAGACCATTAAAAAGGAGAAAAGGCTGTTAACACATGTGGCATGAAGTATTTAAAAGGAATCAGGTAGATTATGATGATCTGTGAAGTCAATTGACTCCTTCACTGCTGCCTGAATAGAAATGTTGCTGCCACTGCTTGGTAGTTGGTTTGAAACTTTAAGTAGATCAGGAATCAAAGAGCAAGGGGGGAGGGGTGACAGTGACTGCACTTCCCCCTGGATCTGTCCCTGAATTTAACCATTTCCCTATGAGGATGCTTCAAGAAACAGAGGACCAGATTTTCAAAAGTATCCAACCTTTGTTGAAAACAATAGAAGTTGTATTTCGAGCAGTTGAAAATCTGGCCTGCTATCTCCCCCACCCTCACCATGGAACAGCAGATACTGTTGGTTTATTCATAGCTATGACTTGCTTGTTCTAAGAGAAATGGTAAGAATTACTAACCTTACACATTATCAATTTAAAATCTTGATACTTTTGATCCAAATTCTGACCTGTGTTATATGACGTCCAAATTAAATCATCTTGATTTACAGTGATGTAGTTGAGGGCAGAACTTGGGTATTCTTAATACAATAAAAATGAGGAAGAAAATAAAAATGTATTGATTTGGATCCTGATTAATGAATCTCTTATGGCATTGACACTTGTTAATAACACCGTTTTTCCTGATGTTCTTTAGGCAACAACAGATAAACAATACTCTCTGAAAAGGTGAATGCCTCATTATTTAGAAATATTTTGGCTTTTGCTTCCCTCTCCTGTAAAACAATAACAAGATGAATTTTAAATATCTGTCAATTTTTCAGGGAGCTTTAATGGGCTTTTTTTGGGAAGCTAAGAAATGATGGGTTGCAGGCAAACAACATTATGTATGCAATGGAGTTGGACAACATTTCTTGGCCTGAGTTTATATAGAAAAATGCAGCTCCTGGTCAACTCAAATTTTATGAATTCATGCCAAATTCAGTTAATAGTTTGGACCAAAAGTGTGCATTGGCAGAAGGAGAAAGGGAATGAAAAATGCCAAAATTGTTTGTTTTACTGTTTTCAAAATGCTGTTTAGAAACATAGTTGTTTAATTTTTAAAAGGATAAAAACAAAACAAAAAAACTGCAGACAAAATGTATACTCTGTTCAACCTAAAGGAATTTTTTTTAAGTTACTTTTTGGTTCACCACCAACTCAAATGGAGTCCCCTGTGGTTCAGGGGTAGAATCCTTTTCTACCACACAGGAGACCTAGGTTTGATTCCCAGAAACATATACAACTATAGCCATAGAGGCACCAAACATCTGGACTCAGTCTGGTCTTTGGATCTGTTTCAGTGCCCTAAAGGGAGGATGGAAGGTCTGGGCAGCCTCCACTTCTCAAAAAATTCCTGCCCAGGCATATGCATCGAAGGTCTGGGTGGCACTCACGCATACACTGTGATCCAGGAGGATTGATGGTTGCCACCAACTGAAACTAAGTTATTAATAGGTCTCTAGTATGGCATCTAGTATGATCTTGGGGTGAAAGTTAACACCTGCTACTCCAAGCATTGGTATTTCATAAATAATGAAAGCTGGTTGTTGTAGAACAGACTGCCAGCCTAGCTTACCTTGATGAGCTGTCTCTTAAATCAGAAGTATTGGCAGGTAAATCAGCATGGAGATGAATTAAGTGGCACTGTCACTCAGCAGCGCTAATTATTATCCTTGCCTGAAGCACCACAAACACAACTATATTGCTGCCAGTTTAAGAGGCAGGATATGTAGAGTAGCACGGTCTAAGGGTATCACTTCTGGGCACAGAAAGTTTATCCAGTAGAGTGGGCCTTAATAAGAAAGAGAGAGAAGAAACGAAAGAAAAGAGCAAGTTAACAGAGCTGTAGAAGACTACATGCAGATGATATGTATCAGCTTCTATCACAAAGCTTGTAAAAGTCCTAAGGAAGATTTTTAGTTAATCTACCAGGGGTTGGCAACCCCTGGCACACGTGCCGAGCATGGCACATGAGGCCATTTTGCTCTGCACGCCACGGCCAGCCCCAGCTCTGGGTAGCTGCTCCCAGCAGGGCTTGCAGCATCCCAGCTGCCTTCTGGCAGCAGGTACCCAGAGCTGGGGCCGGCTGCAGCCGGGAGGCTCCAAACAGCTGTGTTGGGCTCTGGCATCAGCTCTGTACTGGTGCGTGCACCCACGCATCAGAGCAGTCGGTGATGAAGGGGCCTGAGGCAGTGCAGCCCCAGTCTCTCCCCCACTCCCGACACAGTCACTGAGGCTGCGCTGCCCTGATGTCTGGCCCAAGGTGCCCGTGCAGCCGCCGCCAGCATGGAGCTGATGCCAGAGCTGTGGAGCCCGGTGCAGCTGTTTGCAGCCTGCCCACTGCTTGCTGCAAGTGCCCAGAGCCCAGGCTGACTACAAACAGCTGCGCTGGACTCCAGAACCCTACTATCACCTCTGTGCTGGGAGCGGGGGAGAGACCGGGGCTGCGCTGCCTCAGGCCCCTCCTCCACCGCCTGCTTCAATGTGC